TGCTCTGTCTCACCTCCCCATGGCTCTGCTCTCACAGGAGCACAGAGACGGGGCTGCTTACTTCCTTTGCCAATACAATCCTTTAAAGTAGCCCGGGGGTCCTTGACGGCTGCCGGTCCCACAACCCTACCTTGAAAGTGCAACTGTCTCAGGATAGTCCCATGTAGAATGGGCTAGCCTGGAAAGCTGTTGCTCAGCTTCATCCGCCCATGGCACTGCTCGCACAGGCGCACAGAGACTGGGGCTGCTGGCTTGCCTTGCCACCTCAGTCTTCACACATAGCCCGGGTGACCCTGATAGGAAGCTGATGCAGCCCTGCCCCGAAAGTGCAAATTATTCAAGATAGCTCCTACCCAGAAGTGGCTAGCCTGGAAAGCTGTTGCTCAGCCTCATCTGACCATGGCACTACTCCTCCCCTACAGCAATAGGTAAACAGGAAACAGGAATGATATCAGATTAAATCCACTTGTGCTATCAAAGAGATTTTTAGCATTGTCTCTCCCAATTCCCCTGACTGCGGAGCAGAGCTGTGGGTGTTTTGCTTATTCTGCTCTAGTTGTTCCATCACACCTAAGGGGGGTTTTTAAGGAAGAAATCCTTGGCATTTCTACTGCACTCCAGGTGAAATCTTGAGTGTATAGTGAGACAAGGGATTCTCCCTTAGTGCAGAGTGAGGCCAACAGGTGTCTCCATCAGTTCTGGTCTCAGCTGCCCTGCACTGGCATCTCTTTAAGCTGGGGGACCATCACACCAGATGTTCCCACAAAGAGAAACTGGACACTGCTGACAGTAGAGGAATCCAGTTGCCAAGAGCACATTGCCAAACCCATCACCCCATCTCATCATACCTGACAAGGACCTCAGCTCTCCCTTCCCAGTCAGGCACAGAGAGGGCTCATTGCAACTGCCTGCATACAGCCCTTCAACTGCATTTCCATGGCCTTAGCATCGAGGTGTCTTCTCCATGGGACTTCTAGATAACACAGAGATGCCATGGGAGATCTGTGCCCTTCTGGGGAGCAGCCTGCAGCCTAGCAGGACCCCCCAGCAAAAGAATCAAATGTCCTAAACAGAGAGTGTCCAGACAGCAGGGTGAGCTTATTATCAGCCCCACACACTGCAGTTACCAGAGCCCTAAAAATTAGGAGGGGATTTGGATGCTTTTCCTCCATGAATACATCTGTATGAGAGGACCTGCAGCATCAGTGCCTGAGCTGCAGCTGAATCCTCACCTCTCACCACAGGGAATCCAAGGGGAAGAACAAGGGCAAAAGGTACAAAAGTGAACCATGCCAAAGTGCTCCTGCCAAGAGAAGCAGGCCAGGGAGGCACAGTCAGATGCTCAAGCATTTTCACTCTTTGTTGCTCAGGTTGCTGGGAAGCAAACTCAAGACCAAGTCTCCACGACATTAAAGGTGGGGTGCTCTGCTGCGTGGGAGACAAGACCTGCGGGGTTCTCTGGGGAAGGCATCTGCACTGCAGGGGATGTCCAGGAGATGCCCCAATCCCCATCCCATGGGATTTCTGGGAGCAGCTCCCTCTCCTTCCCTACCCATATCTCTGCTGCCTGCAGCTGTGCCTGCCAGAAGCTGTTTCTGTCCCCAGGTCTCCTCCCTCTTCATGTTCATACATATAATCTCACCTGCTGTGTGCTCAGATCTGCCCTACAGACACCTCCTGGCAGCAGGGCACTGCCCAGGGGCATCTCTGTCTGTGCAGAGGCTAAGGACCAGCTCAAAGAAGACCTAATGAGAACTGGGGTCTCAGTGCCTTCTCCAGAACGGAGAATAAATTTCCATCTCACACTGCCCACCCAGTCCACCAAGAGTGTAAAACTCAAAGTGTAGTCTTCTTCCCTTTCAGGTAAATTCTGCCTCAATGTCCTTCTTCAAAAGATCCCTCTGCAGATGCCCTGGGGGTAATGTGAAGCTGTGAGCCACACTAGCCCACACAGCACCCTCTGTCACGTTAAAGGGTTAAAGGGTTTCAAGGACTCTTATAAGTGGCAAGGGGGGAAGCCCTCCCACTTGCTTTCTAAACTCCTTCTCAGAGGAGCCTAGGTGCTGCTGAATCCACTCCTCATCCCAGACTTGGTCAACAGTTTATTTCTACGGGGTTAAGTCTGTAGCCAGTTATCAGAGTCAATGTTTGCCTGTCGTAGCCCTCCCAGGGACTTTCACTGAGGCAGTTTCATAAAGTTGAAACAATAGGTCATTTAGTCAAGCAACAGGCATCACAGATTCGGGATTGCCATTGATACATCACATGCACTATCTACAAAAATTGAGCTCAAGGTAAATAGTTCAGCGCTTTAGTTAATAATATTTTCCCAGGAATACATCCAACAAAGTCGGAGGCGCGACTCTTACCAAAAAGGCATCCCTTCTTGTTGGGGGAAGAGAGGTTCAGGCCCATCAACGTGTCCGTCAGGTAAGGTTTTCATTTGACTCCTCCTCCGAAAAGGGTTTTAAAGTGCCAATTTTTATACCTTTGAAATATCTTTGGCAGATCCTGGTGAGGTGGGACTAAATCAATTATTATGCGTTGATTGGCTCTTGGCGTAGCATGTTGTGTTGTCAGAAGTGGGACTTAGTGGTTCGGCACGCCCTTGAGGCAGGAAGCTTAGTATGCACTTACAGGGGGCCTTCTCTTTTTTAACTGAAGCAACATCTGGCTGTGTGGTCTTTGTTGCACCATAGGTGTCACACAGTTGATAGTGTTGGGCCATCACCCATTACTTCCATCTGATAAAATAAGCTAAGCTCATTGTTCAAGGTGAACCGCTCCCTTTTGTTAACTCTCCAATGTTTGACACATCAGTCCGAAAGTCCTCCTCTGGCATGGACAAGTCCAGCAAGGCTATCCTCCCACACCCTCTCAACAGCAGAAGGACCATGTCCTGCTGGGAGTCACTCCCTCCACCCACAGCTTCTCCCTGCAGCACCATGGGGAGCTCCCCGGGCAGGCTGAGTCCTGACCCTGGCAGGTGGCAGAGACCCCGTCCCGGAACACAGACCCCTGGGGTCCAGGGACCATAATCCTATGTCTCGGTCTGGGAACCAAGAGGTTAAACATCCAAAGAGATTTAGGGGACACTCGTGTCCTACTGCATCACGGCAGGCAGGCATTGCAGTTTTCGAGCTGTCTTATCAGCTCTCATCGTACCAAGTTCTTCCTTCAGTTCTCAAAATTGTTCAGCTTGTTTCTTTATTCGTGTTATTGCATCTTAGTGCTCATATCTAATTAGGAACCACTTCTAAATTATTTTGTGCATGTTTAACATTGCAGTTCTTCTCCCACTGCAGCTTATAAAGCACTGACAAGATCAAACCTCCACCACTGAAGAGCAGAGTGGGGTTTTTTCCTCCTTTTGGATGATATGGAGAGACATATTGTTCCCATTTTTTATCACTTTTGAGGGAGGGAACATGACAAATAAGTGCCTAATTCCAAAGATCCCCTCCATGCTCCAACGCCGCCTACACCAGCAGACTCCTGCCTTGTTGGGTCAGCAGTTTGTTTGACTCCTTTGTCTCCTTTGATTTTCTGTCTTTCTTTAGCCTTGACGTCTCAGTATCGCTCAGCCATAGCCCCAGACTGGGAGACCCCAGACAAGTTCCGAGCATGATACTCCTGAAGTCTAACTATCCCCTTTTAGAGTGAGACTTGAAATACAGCTGATCAAGAAGCTTACTGCATAAGCAACACACTTTTAGGAAACTAATAATTTCTTCACTGACTAGTAATAAACACATCACCATTGTTCGCAGTATCACTTCGCCAGGATATTGCTGCAATTAATACTCAGTTCCAAGTCTGTCATTCAGGATTAGCACTGACACACAGTTATGGTACCATAAAGGAATCTCATAAATGACCCACACAATTAACCTGCCATCCTGCTCCACTTAGTATCAAGGTATAAGCTTGTTTTCCCATTCAGGTTCATCCCTCCCTAGTCCAACCTTCCATACCACATCTTTCGGACACAGGCCTGGTGGAGAGTCTGGCGAGGTGGCCAAGAGGTTCCTCCCTCCAGTGTCCCAGACCACCTATGTGCACAGGTCAGCTTCACCACTATCCACGGGCATTTGCACTTCTACTCTTTGGCAAATCCCGCTGTTCTTTCTTCTCCACCTGATATTACACCGTATTCTCCTTTCTTTCTTTCCCTGCACCCACCTTTTTGCCACTGCTGCTCCTTCTTTTCTCTTCCCAGACTTGTTCCATACAGACCAAGTGCCCCTAATGCCTTTTTCTCATGGTCTCAGTTCTGCTACACCTGTATTCAAATTTGGTGTTTCTGAACATGGTTACTTAAGTAACTTTGGCCGAATAATGTATTACTGATAATGTCATCAAGATGAGGGTGGCCTTGCATTGCAGCAAATTCCTTCTGACTGTACTGCTCATGCTTGTTACACTTCATCTACATCACATGATTTCTGGACAGATTTAGCTTACATTAGCCTAATTCCTATAAAGCACAAGTAATTTTCCTCTTCTGCACAGACAGCATGCACCCCAGCACAGCAATATAAATAATTTTGTGCTCAAACCCTACCTTTGCTCTTCCATAGCTTTCATCATACTGCTGGTCACCATCAAAAGCTTTGGCTTGTTTTGAGGCCTGGTGTTCTAGCTGGATGTCCTGCTCACGCTATTTGGGAATGCTAATAAACCTCTCATCTTTCAGACATATCATAGTTTATTGCAATTTAAAAGGTTATCATAGTTTAAAAGATGAATAAACATCCAGTGATGAGTAGTCACTGTCAGGCTTTGAAGATGAGCTATCTCATCAAATGCCTAGTTAGACAGGTGTCTGTTCAAATTCTTCAGACTTCTGGGTCTTTGTAAACCAAAGACATCCAGAGGTTGTTAGGGCATGTGTATTCCTTAGAAGACTCAAGAAAGAAGAAATATATTTTCTGTCCATTTGGTTAAAAAATCTATACAGATTTGTGTAGCTATCTTTGCCCTTCCAGCTGCTCAGGTTGTTAAAGAGGAAACTGCAGGCCAAATATGGTGTTGAGAAGAGTGGATTTCCTTGTGCTCTGCATACTCAACACAGCCAGCAACACCAGCCTGGACTTGTCCCACAGCTTGGTGTGGAGTTGAGCCAACACATCAGCCACCCACTGCAGTGGGATACTGGAGGCTTCTCCATCCACCAGCTCCTTGAGAAACTCCTTCCAGCATCAGGTTGGCTGCTATATCTGGGAGTTGGACAAGTTGTCTCTTGTCCTCAGACATTTCTCCTTCTTGGGCCATTGCATGTTCAGCCTCATAAAACTGCCCCAGCTCCCACATGAAATGCTCCACTGCTAAGTAGCTCTCCAAAATGTCTTTATCAAGCATGTTTAATGACTTTGGGTTATTCCCTGATCACTCATTTTCCTGTTTGTATTGGGCATTCAGCTGGGAAAGCTTCTCCCTGGCAATATGATCCGAGTTGCATTTCAACTATTTCAGGAAATAATGTTTTCCCACTGTGGAATGCAACCCTATTGCAGTAATAAATTAAGTCAAACCAGCGGTGAGGTCACAGTGATTTTGCTGTATACATAGGTTCTGTATTTTCTCTGTCAGCTGAGATTTGTAATCTTTGGTTGTAATGTCTCCCAGCTTTCTCATCCAGCACAGCTCTTTCTCCACTCTGGCCAAGTTCTTCCAGAGCTCACCCTGCAACTGCAGCATATCCTGTTTGTACTTTCCCATATGTGCTATTCCAGAAGTGACCTCTGTGGCCAGCTTGCTTCCAGTCTTGACATTTTTCACAACGATCGCCCACCAAGCTCTTCAGATCACGTGCCACCTCAGCCATGCTCTCAGTGGTCCCTCTCCTCTGGAAGTGTTGAGCGCGTCTGCTATTGCATACTGGAGGCCTTTATCAAACCTTAGTTCATTCATGCTACTAGTTTTTACTAGCAGACATGCCTTTGCTGACAAAGGCATGTCTGCTAGTAAAAACTAGCAGTGCAGGGGCAAATTCCTTCAGAAAACACTCCTCCAGTGTTTTCTTGGCGATCCCATCCTGGTCACTGATGACAAAGCAGTATTTGGTTGTTGATTCTGACAGACTAGATATATTCTGTCTCCTCAGTGTTCTCAATCACTATGAACACCATTGGAATGCAGAACTGCGCCGTGTGATGTGATGTGCCTGCAAAGGTTCATAACTGGAAGGGGCTCTGGGAAGAGACCAGACCTCTCCCTCCCACGAGGGAAGTACCAGGAAATTTGTACCAGCCCATCTGCAGTTTCCTGGAATGCATCACCCAATCACCCAACTCGATTTCCCAGTGGACAAAGAAATTTTGGTGGTGCTGGGAAGGACTGAGAACAGCCTTGTGGAGCTTGGACTTGAAGAAGCTGCAGTGCCCTGTCTACATGAAGGAGATGGTCTGCATGGACATGAACACCCAGCTCTCCTCCCTGAACCCTCTGCTTTCTGGCAGGGGGTGCAGACTGCACTTCTTCACAGCGCCCCTCATGGCCCAGAGCAGGAGGGTTCACTGGTGGGTGCCAAGGGGAGGGAGCAGCAGTGGGAGAGCAAACTGGCATATGGCCATTTTGGAGATGAGCTCCTGCTGCAGGAAGCTGTCTGAGGAATGCAAAACAGTACAGAGAACATCCAGAGAGCGTGAGGAATCACTCCTACATCTCAACCAGAGAAAAGAGATCATCAGAAATGACCAGGTCATCTCCATCCACACTTGTTCCTACACTAGCACTTCTTCCATTTCCCAGGCTCGTGCTTCTGGCTAGGCCATGCAGACCCATTACTTTTCTGGAAGATGCCACAGTAAACCTCCTTCGGTCTGAGGCATCTGGTCATTCATGCTTTGTTCAGTGATCTCAAGGATGTCTGTTAATTGCAGCTTCCTGGTCCAGTGCACCTCCAATTCTAGCACTGACAGCACAGACAGAAGTCTTTCTTCTCTCTCCAGAAAAAACAAGGAAGCAAGCAAATCTCAACATCATTACCATTCACTTAATATTATGGTGTAAAAGGAATCACAATTCCTGAAGAGGAGTAACAAACCCAGAAAATACATAGAAAAACAGTCTCCAGGGGGTACTAATGGGACAGGCTGAGGAAGACCTCCATAAGATCAGTCCTTAAACAGTGGAGGTGCTCAAAGATGTTTCTGTACTTCATTTTACACGTTCTTTAGGTCCTGGGATGCTCTCACTCAGTCTGGTGCTGGCTAAGCTTGCTAAGATTGGTGTACATCAGAGGAAAATGATGCGGAGATCCTGGTTTTGATGCTATAAAGTCACATGGCTCATAACCAAGACTACCCTAGTTGTCTCAAAGCAGGAGCCATCTAAACCTCCTCATAGTGTAAGTCCTAGCTGATGACTCTAACAGGCTGGTGCAAAAACTGGGAATGCTGTATGCACCCACAATATGCCCTACTCTCACTCTTGCTGTAAAGTGGCAATGGAGCATGGAAGGGCAGGAGAAATTCTCTGTCAAGATGAAACCTCTTCTCATATCATCTTACGTCATGTCCAATTTGTTGTCAGTCAGGGTCCCTAGGTCCTTCTCTGAAGAGCCTCTTTCCAACCAGTGAGCCCCCAGCATGTCCTGGGTGCCTGGGGCAGTTCTTCCCGAGGGGAAGGACTTCGCACTTCCCTTGGTTGAACTTCACAAGGTTTCTCTCAGCCTGTCGAGGTCCCTCTGGATGACAGCATGACCCTCTGGTGTCGCAGCCACTGCTCCCAGTTTTGTACCACCTGCCAGCTGGCTAAGGATGCACATGGTCACCTCACCATAGCCAGCTATCAGGCTGGGGAAATGCAGCTTCTCTCCTTCGTAAGTCCACGCTGACTCCTCCTGCTCACCTCCCTCTCCTTGACATGCCTGGAGATGGTTTCCAGGGCTGGCTGCTCCATCCCCTTCCCAGGGACCGCAGGGAGGCCCGTCTTGCCGGCAGTTCCCCACATCCTCCTTCCTGCCCTCCTGGAAGCGGGACGCCTTTTGCTTTTCACCAGACCTCGGGAACCTCCCCCGTTGCCGGGATCTTTCCAAGGTGACGGAGAGTGTCCCCGCACGGACACCGGGCCGCTCCCTCACCGCCGGTATGCGCCAGC